TGTGTGTGTGTGTGTGTGTGTACGAGAGGGTTCAAGAAGTCTACATAGTCACCATGCAGAGTAACACATTTCTGCAACCTCTCTTTGACCTGCAAAAGTACTTGAATAAAAAAAAGACCCAGAATGGGCCCTAACCTGTCTTCCACAGCTTCAATGGCGTCCTCATTGTCATGGAAACGACGTCCTTTCAGTGATTTTTTAAATTCAGGAAACAGAAAAAGTCGGAAGGGGCTGGGTCTGGTGAATAAGCTGGGTGTGGCAGGATTTCAAAGCTGTACTTGGTCTGCTGTCTGGACTGCTTGTTGTGCCTTGTGCGCAGGGGCGTTGTCCGCCAGTAGGAAGACCCCATTACGGAGTTTTCTACGCGTTTTTCTCACCAATTCGGACCTCAATTTTATCAGCAAACCCCTTTCTCCCCTCAGATGCACCAACGGCTTCGTGACCATCTACTCCCAGCTAGAGCACGAGTCGGACGACCTCCTAGAAGCTTCCTCCTCTCCCCCCCTCTCCCACTCACTCACCCACTCTGTCTCTCCTTCTCCCCCCCCCTCTCTCCAATTAACTCACCTCTCTACCTCTCCTTCTTTCTCTCCCCCAAGATATTATACCAAAAACTTCGTGACCATCTACTCCCAGTTAAAACTCGAGTCCTCCTCCTCCTCCCCCTCCCCCTCCTCCTCCTCCTCCTCCTCCTCCTCCACTTTCCTTTCCCTTCCTCCCTCACTAACTCACCCTCTCTACTGCTCCCTCTTTCTCCCCCTCAATGCACCAACGACTTCTTGACCATCTACTCCCAGCTAAAGCACGAGATGGACGACCTTCCAGAAGCTTCCTCCTCTTCCCCTCTTCCCCCTTCCGTCTCTACTTCGTCATCTCTCTCTCTCCCCTCTCTCCCACTCACTAACCCTCTCTACCTCTCCCTCTCTCTCCCCCTCAGATGCACCAACGACTTCGTGACCATATACTCCCAGCTAGAGCACGAGTCTGACGATCTTCTGGAGGCCAAAGACACGGGTCCGTTCTGCGGCGAGGCCAAGGAAGATCTCCCAGACCTGGTGGTGTCCACAAAGAACATTCTGGTCATCTGGTTCTACTCCAATCACGAAAAGAGCAGGGGCGGCTTCCAGGGCAAGTGGGCCTTCATCAATGCCAGTAAGTTGCACGTTTCGCTTCCTTTAGAGTTTTGTTGTTTAAAAAAATGAATAATGATAATTATTTTTGGCGGGTTTTATGACTGGTAATTTTTCTCTTTCAGATTTCTATTTTTACCCGTTATCCTCCTTACCATCCGCAGTTTTTAGCCCTTTCTATTCTTCATCCTCCTCCTCGTCTTTCTTTTATACTCCTTCTCCTCCTCCTCTTTCTTGTTTTTCTTTTCCTCCTCCTCCTCCTCCTCCTCCTCCTCCTCCTTTCTGGGAAAGTGGGCATGTATATATTTAGGGAATGGTGTTCTTGTACTGATTTCGTAACATTTCTTATTTCAATTTCATGTTGTCCCTTGCATCCTTTTCAGCAGTGTAACCTTAAAACATTCCTCTTTCCTCTTTGTTAAGATAATATCATAATAGCTCTACTTTACAATACTTCACATCCTGTATAGAAAATGTATAATACGCTACAATGTTGGATTAACATTCTAAAGATATCACTATTACAGTAAATCTACTCTGTTATACCACGTGTTTTTGAGAAAGTATAATGATAATAATACAATATTATTGCTTTGCTGGATTACCATTCTTGGGATTTCACCATTTTGACAAATTTATCTTCTCGCCTCTTTTTGAGAAAATATCATAACAGGTTTATTTTATTCCCCTGCAATGATGGAAGAGCATTTTCAGGTTCAAAAGCGCCATGGATGTTTGAATTGTCTGATGTATGTGTGTGTGTGTGTGGGGGG